AAAAAAAAAAAAAAAAACTATACTATGTAAATAGGGTAATAAGAACTTTTTCCGTATATATATAAAATATTGAATCCTTTTGAGTTTTGACATGACAAAAGTGGTTCAAAGAATGCTTTAGACCGCAGTTAGAATATATACTAGGTGTGACACTTGCATTTTTAAGATTTTATTTGTTAGAATTTCTGATTCCGTTGAGCGAGCAAGTATATATGAGAGTGCACGTGTGCATATGAGAAAAAGAAGATTGTTGAAACTGAAAAATCACGGAGAAATGATAGCTATAACAGCAAGTGTATAGTATATGTTCTAGTAGCATGTGATTTGACAAAAAATAGATTTGCTTTCTTCTTGCTATAATAAAAATTCATAATAATAATAATAAGGATAAACAATCACAGTAGCTTTCTTTTGACCTTCCTATTTTTTGCCCTTTCAAGAAACCGTATATAAATTTACCATAAGAAAAATGATTGTAATATAGCAATACAAAGCTTTGTGTGAAAATGGGTTTTGCAAGAAAATAAGAAATTAAATTAAATTAAATACCGCAAGAACAGTGTTGCAATAGTTGCAACGAACGTAGCAAAGATGTTCAGGAGATTGAACCAAATCCATGGAGTTTTTATCAGCAGGAGGAGAAGAACACATAGAGTTAGAAGTTTGAAGGATATATATTGTTTACCCGAAAAACGGATAGAGTTAAATTTGTATGTAGTTCTAAGGATATGTGGTATAACTTTATACAAACAGTAAAGATAAATAGAAATATCAAATATGGATTGCAAAGAGTACAAAATAAACAAGGTTGTAAAGAAGATGATTTTTAGGACTGAACAGGTTGAATCAATTTATGAAGCTTAAAAGAACAACTCTTCACTATAGGAGAATAGGGTGCTTGAATTACAATGTAAGCAAAAACTTGGTCCTTACAGAAATAATAACCATCCCCTTTATAGTAGAGGGATCTTACTTTAGATATAATTAAAAATAAATAGTGGGAGACCCATGATAAATCAGTTTTTCCATAATTCCTGCCAGGATTCTCTCCTCTAGTGGGATTGCAACGGCTCTTGTCTATGAGCTCGATATTGACTCGACTTTTCGGTCTTGACTCGAGCTGAGCTTTCGATCTTGACTTCAGCTCGATTCTGACTCGGATTCTTGCATTGATTCGGGGTCAGTGTTGGTCGATCTCTGAATCATAAGCTCGATAACTTTACTTTGCATCATAGTTCGATTTGGATTCGAGCTTGATAATGATATCGAGCTCGACATTGATCGGTCCCTCGGGCTCGAAGCTTGTTTGTACCATCTTCGGAACCCATCTCGAAGTCTTACTCCGATCTATTATATTTTGACCTCAATCGATCGTACGAAGACCGAAATCTATTTCGACCGTATACAGATAGTCCCTTCGTTTCTCAGGAAGGATGTGGTGAGAAACGATATGATTTTTCAACGGCTCGATCGGATTATAAGCTGACGTTTACATTGGGCTCGACCATGACGCACGTGATAGTTATCCAGTCGATTTAGTCTTTTAAGGAATTTAATGCATGTCAGACGGTGGTTGGCCACCGCTGATGCTGAACCGCCATTGCTTTAATCTATAAATAGCCCTTCCTTTTATCATTTACCACTTTTATATCTTCAATCTTCTAAATTTTCCAAGTTCTTTTTCGTACTTTCTGAGTTTATTCGCAAATATGTGATTCTTATTTGCAAGATTCTTCTTCTAAACTACCAAATCTTCGTTACCTTCTTTAAATTCAAAATGGTGAAGACATCAAAAACTGTCCCCCCAAAAAAAAAGCTTCTTCATCCCAATCCGCCGCTAACAAAACACTGGTGGATCCACGGCCTGAGGAATGCATTCCGACGGCGTGTGTTCTTATCTCCGATTTCAAACTCGATAAAGGTTCGCCGGTTCCTGGACGATATGAGCCCGTATCAAGATATATTTGTTCGATAGCCCGGGAGCATATCGAGCGGATAAAAAAATTATAACTGGAAGAACAAAGAAGTAGTAGTGCCGTCTCCCGAAGAGGATATTACTACTCACGTGAGAGGGTTTTTAAGCATGTATACTTACCCTTTCACGTTAGGTCCCCTCGACCCCGTTATCATAGATTTTTGTCGTAAATACCTAATAACCCTAGGCCAGATACATCCTTCCTTTTGGCGGATCATTATTTTGATCTGATATTTTGTGAGTAAAATCGAGGGGATGCTTTCACCCTTGATCATCTTGTCCGATTATACCGTCCTCACCTTTTTCGAGGAGAGTTAATAAAACTCCAACGTCGAGCTACCAAGGCTCTGTTCTCGAGTATAGACGATGATAAGGATCGAGGCTGGATGGGCAAATTCATTCGAGTAAGGACTTCGGACCTGATTCTGACCGAAAAGATGCCTTTTCCCGAGGGGTGGAACATGAAGCGTAAGTGTAATTCTGCTTTTATCTCTTACTATTTTGTCCTTTCATTTCCTTCACCAATATTCTCTTTTTGTGATGCAGCGGTTCCCTGGATACCCGGCGCAGTGCCCGATCTCAAGAACTGGGTACGTGATCTGATTTTGACCTCCTCCTACACCGAGCGCTCATGGCGCGACTTGTCGAAGGGCCGATGGGAGGCCAAAAATCACGATAAGCACCTTTCTCGTATCTTTTGATAATTTGAATAAGATATTTTTTACACACTTTAATAAAAAAATTTGTGTGTAGGTGTGGGCAAAGATGCGGTTTTGAGGCCCTCATCCGTCGAGGAAGAGGCTTCGGCCTCTGTCCCAAAGCCGGTGAAAGATAATAAAAGGAAAAGAGCCCCCGTCCTCGAAGATCAAAAATCGAAGAAGAGGATGGCTCGTAAGCCGAACAAGAATATCATTCCTTTGACCGTAGAATCAGTTCTGCGTCTGAGGGATGAAGAAGAAGAATAAGAGAACGATGGGTCTGTGTGGCGGCCCGAACGAAGAAGACCACCGACGTTCCACAGGCAGCTGGATCGATGGTGGTTCATAAAGCTCTGCCTCGAACTGAGGATATATCGGAGAAAGATTCGGGTAGAGTCCCCAAGTTGTTGGAGATCGAAGACGTTTCCCATCGAAGCCAACGGATGGGGGATATGTCTGAAGGGACTCTTCTCGAATCTTTTCGAACCGAAGAGAATGCCCCAGGTGATTCACTTGGGGCAGTAGCAATCGAAGACTCACCCACTTTCCCTGCTTTTTCCGCAGGGGCGATTCGGGAGGCCCAAGCTTTGGGGGCCCTCAAATTAGATAGGCCTCATAATGGAGAGGATCCTTTTCGTGACATGTTTATCGGTGTCGAGGACACTACCGGTACAAATAACGCATCAGATCTTTTTCACGGAGTGCAGCAGGCTTTGAATCGGGTAAGCCTTAAATTATATGGCTTTACCTTTAAGTTTGCTTTTCTTTTCTAACTTCGTTTCTTCTTTCTTTGCAGGCCGCGACAGTTCATCGAGAATCATGTTCTCGGTCCCGAACTGAGCTGTGTTGATATGAGGCCGAGCTTCAACGGGTTACAGAGGAGAGCAACTCCCTAGAACTCCTCTTAGGCCAAAGGGGGGAAGAAATAAAAGACCTCCGAGCTGAGTTGGCCAAGGCTCACCAAGATCATATCGATCTGTCCGAGCATGTAATAATACTTTAAAAGCCTATGGGCTCGATACCGGAATGATGGCTAATTTTTCGGTCTCACAGCTGCAGCAGAAAATTGAGATGATCGGAAAACTCTGTGAAGAAGTCGATGTGATAAAAGCGGAGTCTTTGAAGTGGAAAGAAGGAATTGACCGCTTTGCTGCAGAGAAAGAAACTGTTTGAGCCCAATTGTCATCGGCTGAAAACCAACTTCAAAAAATAAAGGATAAAGGCTCGGTCCAAGCAAGAAGAATAGAGGAGCTCGAGGCTCGGATGGCCTCTGAACATGCCAAGGCAGAATCTGACGCCGAAAAGGCAAAGGCCGATGCAGACACACTCGTGGCCGTCTATCGGGCTGATGCGAAAGCTGCCCAGGTCCAAGCAAGAGAGGCAGCCGAGACCGCCGATACTCGAACACATTGGGTCGCTGAACTTGCTAAGTGCCGATCTCGGAGGGAGACCCTCGAGGAGATCCATGTTCGAGGTTTCGACCTCACTAAAGAGATTAAAAGGGCCAAAGAACTCGAAGTCGATGCTGAAGCCTTGGTTTCCGATGACGATGATGATGATAATGATGATGATGATGGGAGTAAGGGCGGGTCCGAGAACGGGGGGAGCCCGATAGATAAGAGACCGCTCCTGGGGATAACCAAGAAGATTAGTCCTTAATTTTTATGTTGTAATCAATTATGTAAACAATCTTGTATATAAAAATATCCCTTTTTTTCTGACTTGCTTCTATTATGTTTCCTGTTTTGTGAAGATTTTATTCATGCCTTATGAATATTTTCACAAGGATTTAGGCAACTTGATCAAATTTGGACTTCATAGCCTTTATAACCGAGTGAGCGCTTACTCAAACTAGAAGTGATGTAGCCCTTAGGCTTAGTAGTCGAGTGAATGATTCGAACTCGAAGTAATGTAGCCTGTAGGCATAATGATCGAGTGAGTGCTTGCTTGAACTCGAAATAAAAATAGCCCGTAGGCTTAGTAGTCGAGTGAATGATTCAAACTCGAAGTAATGTAGCATGTGGGCGTAATGGTCGAGTGAGTGCTTGCTTGAACTCGAAATAAAAATAGCCCGTAGGCTTAGTAGTCGAGTGAATGATTCAAACTCGAAGTAATGTAGCATGTGGGCGTAATGGTCGAGTGAGTGCTTGCTTGAACTCGAAATAAAAATAGCCCGTAGGCTTAGTAGTCGAGTGAATGATTCAAACTCGAAGTAATGTAGCATGTGGGCGTAATGGTCGAGTGAGTGCTTGCTTGAACTCGAAATAAAAGTAACTTATAGGCTTAGTAGTCGAGTGAATGATTCAAACACTAAGTAATGTAGCCCGTAGGCATAATGGTCGAGTGAGTGCTTGTTTGAACTCAAAATAAAAGTAGCATGTGGGCATAATGGTCGAGTGAATGATTCGAACTCGAAGTAATGTAGCCTGTAGGCGTAATGGTCGAGTGAGTGCTTGCTCGAACTCAAAATAAAAGTAGCCCGTAGGCTTAGTAGTTGAGTGAATGATTCGAACTCGAAGTAATATAACCCGTAGGCATAATGGTCGAGTGAGTGCTTGCTCGAACTCGAAATAAAAGTATCCCGTAGGCTTATTAGTCGAGTGAATGATTCAAACTCAAAGTAATGTAGCCCGTAGGCGTAATGGTCGAGTAAGTGCTTGCTCGAACTCGAAATAAAAGTAGCTCGTAGGCGTAATGGTCGAGTGAATGATTTGAACTCAAAGTAATGTAGCCCGTAGGTATAATGGTCGAATGAATGATTCGAACTCGAAGTAATGTAGCTCGTAGGCGTAATGGTCGAGTGAGTGCTTGCTCGAACTAGAATAAAAGTAGCCTGTAGGCTTAGTAGTCGAGTGAATGATTCGAACTCGAAGTAATATAGCCCGTAGGTGTAATGGTCGAGTGAGTGCTTGCTCGAACTCGAAATAAAAGTAGTTCGTAGGCTTAGTAGTCGA